TGGCTTCCTGGCTTTTAATCTCCTTTCTCCTGCTCTTCCTGCTTGCTACTTTGGGCGTCCCTGAGTTGTCTCTCCTCACCTGTAACCCTGGGGCTGACTGCTTTTCTGTCCGGGTTCCTGGCTTTTTATCCCATTTCTCCTGCTCTTCTGGCCTGCTACTCTGGGCGGGAACTAGCAGACCAACCCCAAAGTAGACAGAAAATTTGTATTTGGGATATGGGGCAATATACATCTCAATTTGGTGGTGGAAGGAACTAACTGAGTTAGTTCTAGTGCATGTCAATTTCTGTGTGCATGAAGAGATCCTGGTCTTACAGGTGTGTCTAAGAGCTTGACAATATGTGTGTGCATTTACAGGGGGTGATGTGCATGTCTGTGGTTCTGAAGAGTTTCTTTGTTTGTAAACTCTGTCTGATGGATGTCCCTGGGATAATGTATTCAACAGTTGACTATGTGAGGGTGTTCTGGGTGTATGCAGGGGTTTGAGTCAGGGTGTGTGTGGAAACAAGAGAGAGAGAGAGATAGAGACTTAATCACCAACATCACTTGGACAGAGTCAGCAATGAGCCCCACATAGGGCTTCAGGATGTCATAATGGAAGGCTGGAGTCAGTGTCCGCCGGTGCTGGAACCATTTCTCCCCATTCAACAGAAGCAAGCCGTACCCTGGGACAGAGATCAATATGTGTATAAGTTCTGGGGAGACAGCATCAGAGGGACTACCAGAGACAGTTTGGGAGAGAGCAAGGTCATCCTGGGGAAAGAAACCCATCTGAAGACACATTACATGCAAAACCTGGGAAACTTGTCACATTTTACGAATGTGAGACTCCAATTTGGCTGATACATAGACTGTGATTTTGATAGCTATGAGAGAAAATCTGAAAATATTAATGAGGGGTATACCTTAAATATGTGTTAAATTGTGAAATTTTGAGAGAACTGAGACTAGATGTGGAAGGATCAGAGATATTGGATAGTTCCAACCACCAGGAGAATAGGCCAAAGTCTGGGAAAAGAAAAGAGTTGAGGCTCAACTCATGGATGTTGGTAGTAGGGGTGTCTGGACACCTGTAGTTCTCTGTGAGCCAAAGAGATCTCTCATGACAAATATACCTGATGAGTGGAATGCAGTCATTTTATAGACATACGTACCAATCCAGGGGGCCAGGAATCTGTATTCATCACTTTTCTTTGGGTCTGAAAAGTAAGGAGGGGCATCAAGATGTGAGTGTAAGGGATCAGACAAGACATCCCTCGGGAGGCAATTGTGTTCCAGACCATTGGCTAGTATCATTTATTGATGATTATAATCTGTAAATATATGCCAAAGTGACCTTTCATTTGCCTCCCATACTCTACAATCTCTGTCTCAATAATTAGTGTGGGCTCAGGGGGGGCAGACTCAGTGTACCAGCAGAAACTCACAAGAATAGGATAGTAGAGTGGCTAGAAATGTAGGCAATGTCCTAAATGCCAACCAGTAAAACATAAACCTTTTGGATTGTTTAGGATTTATGTGGCTTTGACATCCCATGTACCATAACAGGCAAAAATAAGAACTAGCAGATCAACCCCAAAGTAGACAGAAAATTTGTCTTTGGGATATGGGGCAATATACATAACAGAGTATCTCAATTTGTGGAAGGAAGGAAGATAAGAGGGGTAGAAAGGCAGGGAGGGAGTGAGGCAGAGAGAGAGAGGAAGGGAAGAGGAGAAAGAGTGTGGGAGGGAGAAAGTAAAAGGGAAAGAGAATGAGAGATAGAGAATAGAATAGAATAAAATGAAGGAAAGAAGGAAGGGAAAGAAGAGAAAAAGTAAGAAAGAAAAAAGGATGGAAGATAATTGAAGTAAAGAAATGGAAGGAAGGAAGAATGAAGGAAGGAAATAAAAGGAAAAAAAGAAGGAAGGAAGAAGGAAATTAGAAGGAAGGAAGAAAATTCATCCCAGAACAGACGTTTTAAATGTCCAGTTCTAAGAAATAATTGTTGGCCTGAGGCTGTGTGTGAGTCGGGAGAATGGTTGGTAGTGTTTACATACTTGTAGTTGACCTAAGCTCTCTTGGAATTTTAGAGAACCAGAGGCATGAACTCAAGAGGGAGGAACTTTTCCAGCTGGATATGAGATTTGCTCTCACCTGTTCTCCCTAGAATCACCCTCATGTAGTCAGGATCGTAAACATGGAAGACAATTGAGTCACCCCACAACCAGCGAGGACAGGCACATGGGAATTTCTGAACCCATGTCAAGAAATGTTGCAACTCTGTGTCCCTTTGAAACTGTAACAGAAAGAGAGACAAACCAGTTAAAGCATTTCTTTAGGTTTAATACTTACAGTAGGGTGGAAGGATAGGACAGCCACAGGAAGGGTGGTTCTGGAACTCCCAGCAGAGGTTAGGGGGTTGGAACTGATAACCTGATCTCCAATCTAGACTCTTGCTGTTGATGAACTTGCCCTAAGGCAAGACCTGTGCTCTTGTTGAGCTGATCTTTGGGCCCTCACTCAGTACTTCTTCCAGAAATTAAAAATAATAGGCAATTGATAAACATTGTTGACTCCACAGTGTATAAGACCTTTCCACAGACTGACATTATGTGCTGCTTGGAGCATATCAGTAGTTGAGTAGGAATTATTACTCTATTCTATTTTACAGAAGAATGGGAAAATCAAAATTAATGATATGCCCAGGCGACCTTGGTTACACTCAAGCCTGCTGATCCCTATGATGTCTTTCTCCTGGGCTCTCACAGCCCCTTGGTGTTCCTGTAGTATCATATTAATAAAAAATGTACTCTAATTTTTGGGTACCCTGTTGGCAAATGCACTTTCTATACTTGTTATCTCTACTTCCTTGTTGTTGTTA